GCGACCCTCGGTGCTCTGACTTCCCTTCCCCCGACCACACCTACTACTTCACCCACCCGGGATTTGTTGAGATCACCACCAGTTTCCCTCCTTTCCGTTGTCTTCTCCCGTACCATCAACTCAGCGTCATTCCGTGGCCGGCCATAGCCCCCTATTGGCCCGGTACGTTTTGCGTGAATTGCCGACGTAGCGGCGAACAGAGAACTCCGGGCCTCCGAAGGCCCAATCCAAGTACGCGGCGGCCTGCGCCACGTGGCGGCCCACGACGGCCTAACTTTTCGGGACCACCTCCACCGCAGAGGGATTTCCCCGTAACCCGTCGCCCACAGTGCGCCGGCCCCATCGGACCATGAGTCCCTTGCGCACGCACCTCTCATTCGCCTAATTGCATTCATAACCCTAAGACTCCCCCACTTTTTCCAAAAATCCTTGGCACAACCCTTTTTCACACTTCCAGGCCTACATCCCACTCCGATCAGGAAGTCGCGTTGGGCGTGAGGTTGGTATCGGAGCCCGACACGTGGCTAGGATCTTAGGATTGATAGCACGTTAATTAGGCGACCTGGCTAACCGTGGGCGACCTCGCTCTCGGAACGCACATAGACGCGACCCTATTGTCACCAGAAGCAGATCGGCTAGCCGACGACCTGCCAATATGGCTGCCAATGTGCAAAATCCGGTTCCGCAACAAAATGTTAATCCACCTAATCAACCTGCCCCACGTGCACGAGCTCCCATGTCGCCACCGGATCTCTATCTATTTGATCCAGCGCACCACCTTGCAGGAGCATGGTTGGCCACACTTAGAGTCCAACAGTACACTGACAATGAAGCGCAAATCAACATTCCCGCCCGATTGGGGGGGGACGCTCATCATTGGTTTAGTACCTTTGTATGGGTTGACCTCACGACCTTTGAGCGGGATTTCATGAACCGATTTGACTACGTTCACCCCGAGCAAGCGCTGTATATGATCAAGGACCGAGTGCAAAAACCTCTCGAATCCGTTGCAGAATATCGAAACCGGTTCTAAAGAATGTTCGTAAAAACTGAGCGAGGTGAAGAAGTAGGGAGAGACCTGTTCATTGACGGGCTTCGCCGCCGAACAATCAGGGCTAAGTTGCGAAAGTAGTTTTCCCCCATCACTCACATGCTACAACAAATTATGGCTGTTGCGGAAGAAATGGAACGGAAGTTCGCGGCGAACTTCCTAGAAGGGGAAGACTATCCTAGAGAAGGAGATTCGACCGAACTCGCACGAGCAAGGGCTAAGTTGGCTGCCCTGCAGAACAAGTTCGAAAACATGGGGTTTGTGTCAGAACCTGTCACCTATATGGAACAGATAGGCCCCAAACGAGTGATCCGGAGTGAGGTTCCGAGCTCGTCCGCTCCTGTGATGCGTCCACCCGCAAGGGCATTACCCCCACCATCAGTTGAGGCTCCTACACGAACGAACGCATCGGCAGCCATTTTCGAACTAACCAAAACCTTGATTAGTTTGATCCAGGAAAGCAAAAAGGAGCGGCGAGAGCACAATGCTCGGCTGGAAGCCATGATGAGGAACATGCGGCCCATTGCGGTACGCGCCCCTCCGATGCAGCAAGGATTAGCCCCGGCACCTACGCTCAGAGGAGTCGCAAATAATATGAATGTCTGTTATGCCTGTCATCAGCCAGGATATCTAGCCCGTGATTTCCCCCACCGACCCCCACAACAGCGGATCGGAGTCGCACCTATGGCTGCGCCTCCCATCGCCAACGGACTTGGACGAGTCAGAGCTTTGATGGAAGAAGTGGAGGGTGGGGGAAGTGCCCTGGCCACCTCGGAAGAGGCTGCCGAGCTAATCCCGCTGGATCAGTACGTATCGCTGGGATATCCGGGGCTTGGAATAATCGGAACAATCAGACCAGCGCCGAAACCGAAAGAAGTGGCGGAGTGGCGACCGTCTCTAGGAGAAATGGAGTCGAGAGGACCCACCTTCGTCACAGGAGAGATCGATGTATTAAACATCATCCCAGCCTTGGACCATCGGATTTCCCTTCCGATCGGTCACCTACTCTCCGAGCAAGCCAACGAGCGAATGCTACAACATTGCAAGGCAAACCGAAAGTAATTCGCTCTCGCCCGAACACCAAATGCAAAAGCCAAAGGCCCCGCGCCGGAAGAAAACCCAACAGGCACTCCGGATCCAATACGGGTAGGTTTAATTCAGAAAGACGATCATTTCTTGCGGATTAAACCAATTCCGTGGAAACCCGCAGAATATGATATTGAAATTTGGGGAATTCCTTACAACGCAATTATAGACTCGGGAGCAGTTGTGTTGGCTATTTCACTGAGAGTGGTCGAAAGGGCAGGTAGGAAAAACGACCTGATCATGCTTTCTGAGAAAGATCAGCTCGTTTCGGCTGACGAAGAAAGGATTAAAATCGTGGGAAGAATGACCAATATCGCTTTCCGATTGGGTAAAGTGCACGCGGTTAGGGATGTCATAGTACTGGATATTAATACGTACGACGTTCTTTTCGGACTTCCCGCTCTTGTGGCATTACGAGCAAACCTGGACTTCGAACGACGATCGATCGTCCTTCGAAATACAGGAGGAAAACCCTACGCCATGCCTATGCGATTGACCCTTCGCACTACCATTAACACGGTCCCGCGGGTTTCGTCGATGATGGCAGGGACTCTCCGCATGATCTCCTGGGATGAATCCATAGACGGAAAGTCATCAACGAATGATGCGGACAGCAGTGACGAAGATGATCCAGAGATC